ATGTCCCCGCCCGCGCGACCTCGATCGTCACAGAGGTGGCAGCGACGAGCTTGGTACCGGGTCGGCGGGCCTTCGCCACAGCAGACAGAATGCTCCTGGCGGCGAGGAGCCGAGTGGCGCGAGCGGCGTTGAAAGTGGTGCACCTCCTCGCGGGACAGGTCGCCGCGGGGGCTTCGGGGGGGCAAGAAGGCTCAAGAACACCGGGGATGGAGATGGCCACGATGGGCGGTTCCGCCGGTTCGGGACCTTTGAGCGCCTCTCTGTTTGACATGCTGCATGCGGAACTGCGCTGTGCCTTGCGTCAGGCCGCTGAAACTGGATTTTCGATGGCCTCGTGGAAGGAGGGGCGCCAGGGACACGGACGGCATGTCGGACGCTTGAGAAGAGAAGAGGAGCGTCAGGGGGAGGCATGGCCGGGGGATGTGACAGGACGGATCCCGTCGCTAAGACGTCGAGGAGCTCCAGAGGCGGCTCCTCCTCGCCCCCCCCCCTTGTCCCGGGGGCCGTCGCGGGGGACCGACGGGAGCCACGCAAGCTCGAGCACTGCTACGGCCCTCTCTCGAGGGCGCGGCGCCAGCAGCAACGGCAACACCGGGAGTAGTTCTCGTCACCCTGGGCTCGCGCTGCTCCAGGAGCCTGCGGAGGAGGCGCAGGAACTTTCGAGCGAGCAGTACTGCCACCGGCTTCTGGGTCTCCTCCAATCCATCGCTGCCTCCCCTGCCTGTCAACAACAGCTGACGGGGCCCAAGTGGATACGCTTGTTGCTAGGGGTTCTACAGACAGGGTCGGCCTCCACTCAACGTCGAATTTTCCGCCTGCTGCGCCAGCTCCTGCCCTCTGTGGACCCGGACAAATTCCGAGTTCGGGTTCCAGGGGCGAGCTCAGGGCGTGGCCGGGGGGCTGAAGGGGCCATGGACGGGGGGCAGTCGCTCCTCTTGTTGGACCAGGAGGAGGAAGACGGAAGCAATGAGGAAGGCCGAGGGGACGGGCGAGGGGAGGGAGCGCAGAGCCCCCTGGAGGAGTCGGCGGCCTCGGCATTGGTTGGCCTGCTCATGGAGGGAGCAGCGTCCTCCCTGCCATGGGAAGTGCGACCGCCCCACGCGAAGACCGGGTCTCCAAGCCCCGTGGGGGCAAAAGGGGGGGCGGAGGAGGAGAAGGAGGAAGAAGACGAGGTGTGCTTACGCTTCGCCGCGAGCGGCAACCAGCTGTGGTCAGAGAGCGTGGGCTTGCTCCGGCGGCTAATGGCAGAGCCTGCCTGGAGCCCCGTTGTCCACACCCGGCTTTTGCGAGGGTTAAAGGGCCTGCCCTCGGCCCTGGAGCCGGACGGGGAGGACGCATGGCCCGCCCGACGGGCAGTGCTGGGGCCCGCGCTCGCCTCTTTGAGCGTGCTTGGAGGCCTGGTGGAGGAGCTGCGCGTGGGCGGGATGGTCACCTTGCGGCCCCTCAGTCTCTACGAAGGGACCTCGGAGAGCCTGGCCTGGCGCCTGGCGGCCATGGTACACACGTTTGGGATGCTTGTCTCTGTGGACGGGCCCAGGGCGAGCAAGGGTGTGGCGGGGGAGGGCCTTGGGGAAGGGCCTCCCTCTGCCGGGGAACGCCGGTACGCCGAGGTGGTACTTGTGGACCGGGAGGCGGGTTCCGGGAAGGGGATGGCTGGGACCACGGGCGGGTTCCTGGCCTGCCTGCCCCCCTCCCTCGCGCCCTCGGCCGCCGCGCATGCGCATTTGAGCCCTGGAGGAGAGGGCTCCAGGAAAGGTCGAGGACTCTCGCTCGCGCATGGGCTGCCGGTGCGACCCCTGAAGCTGAATGTGGAGGATTTGGTGGCCACGTCGGAGGAGCCGCCCCCGTTGAGGGCGCTCAGGGAGGACGTGGCGCGGGCCCTGCTTGAAGGTGTGGTGGGGGCGGGGGTCGCGTGGATCCAGGAGGTTCGAAGCGCGGTGGCGGAGGATATGGTGAGGGAAGAGGAGGGGAGGGAAAGAGGAGAGGAGAAGGAGGAGGCGGAGGCCAGAATCATGCCAGAGGGAGTGGCAGAGATGGAGGACGGAGAAGAGATGAAAGCGGAGGGTAAGGAGGACCAAGGCGAAAGGAAAGAAGAGGAAGGCGTGGATAGAGGGGAAACCGAGGAGAAGGAAAGTGTGTGGGACACACGGGCGGCGCAGGGTCTGGCCGCGCTGGAGGCATTCAAGGCAACCGCGGTGGTTCTGGACCAGGGGTCCTTGGCAGAAAGCTTCTTGCGAGCGCCCGGGGCGGAGGCGGCCTTCGAAGCCTTGCTGGGAGTGGCGGTGCAACGGACCTCTACGGGCGGGTTGGGGGCACTGGGGCGGCTGGAAGAGGTGTGGTTGAGGACGTGGGGGCGGTGGAGGGATGGGCTGGGAAGGGGCCTGGCGGAGGAGGAAGGCGATGGGGGCGGTACCCCTCCCCCTCCTCGGGGCCCGGGCGGGGAGGGAGGCAGTCGATCCGGTGGGGAGGACGGACCGGGGGGAGGCTTGTCCTCGGCAGCGGCTGCGGGAGCGGGTGGCGGGGCGGCTTCGATGCTCTCCTCTTTCATGCAGGCCTTCGCCGTCTCCTCCCAGGGGGGCCTGACGGGCGCAGGTGGGAGTAGCGGTGGGGCTCGGACGGGGGAGAACTCGGCCGCGGTGGCGACGATGATGGAGATGGGCTTTCCCAAGGAGTGGTGCCAGGCGGCCTTGCGCCGATGCGGGAACAACGTGGAAGTGGCGGTGAACTTCTGCTTCGAGCACGGCGGGGACATGGACCAGGATCTTGGCGGAGGAGCAGGCGCTGGCGGCGGTGGTGGCCTCGCGGGGCGGGAGTGGAGGGGGGGGCGCAGCGTGGAGAACGTGCGCCGGTCCCTGGAGACCAGCATGCTGATGAAGCAATTGCTGGAGATGGGGTTCCCGACCCGCTGGTGCCAGAAGGCGCTGGCAGCCAACCACAACAACGTGAACGCGGCGCTGACCTGGATTCTCTCCAACGGCGAGGCACTGAGCGCAGAGGAGGAGGAAGCAGAGGGGGAGGGGGAAGGAGCGGGGCCGGGCGCGCGAAGGTGGGGAGGAAAAGGAGGAGGAGGAGGAGGAGGAAGAGGAGGATGGGAATGCGGGCGAGTGGGAAGCAAGGGAGGGTGTCAATCCTTTGCGCGTAGTGAGCGGCGAGGCGGAGATCCGTCCCGATCTGGCCGTGGAGGGGGTGGCCAGCGGGGGGTTCGCCAGCGTGGGCTGCCGGGGTACCCTCGTTCGCGCGGGGAAATGGTACTATGAAGTGTTGCTGAGGACGGCGGGCTGCATGCAAATCGGCTGGTGCGACGCGGCCTTCTCGGGGGACGCCCAGGCCGGGGATGGGGTGGGGGATGGGCCGCACTCGTGGGCCTACGACGGCTGGAGGGAGTACCGGTGGCACGACGGGCACTCGGACTGGGGCGCGCGCTGGCAGCCGGGCGACGTGGTCGGGTGCTTCCTCGACCTGGACGAGGGCGTGATGGGCTTCACGCTGAACGGGAGGAGGGAGGAGATCGGGATGGGGGCGGCCTTCACGGACCTGAGGTATGCGGGGGGGTTGTACCCGTGTGCCTCTTTCAACCGCCGCGAGAAGCTTCAGTTCAATTTCGGGGCGGCTCGACTCAACTTCGGCCCCCCTCCGGGATTCAAGCCGCTGGTGGAGGCAGTGCGACAAGTTGTGGTGCAGACGCGAACGCTGAGGGAGGGGTGGAGGGCCCGGGAGAGGGATGGAGAAGAGATGGAGGTGTTGGCCGTGGAGATGTCAGGGGGGGAGGAGCGTGCGGGGCCGGGGGAGAGAGACGAGGAGGCGGGGGTGTCTTACGTGGAAGACTGCAGGGAGGAGCTGCTGGGCATCGAAAGCATGCGGCCCACGCAACGGTACTTTGCCGCAGACGTGAATGCCCGCTCGAGTAGCACTTCCAGTGGCGGTCTGGGCGGGCGTGGGGGCCTCCGAGGGTCTTCAGCACCGCCGGCTTTGACGGGTGTGTGGGCGGAAAAAGGGGGGGGGGGGCGGCAGTGACAGGACGCGGGGTCGCCGCCTCGCGCAGCAGACCTTGGAGCTCTGTGTCCTGTATGCACGTCGGGCCCTCTTGACGCTCCTCTCTGCCTGGCCCTCGGAGGGACCGCGCCAGGGCTCGTCCGCCTCGACCTCGTCGGTCGTAGATCTGCGCCGGCTGCTGACCAGGAGAGGGGGCGATGGGGACCAGGAGAGAGCGCCCATCCTGGTGGAGCTCCTGCGCTTGGCCTCCATCATCAGTCCCGCCTCCCCCGCCCAGCTGGGGAAGGGGTTCCTGTCTCCCATGGACGTCCTCGGAGGCCGAAGCAACAGTTTCCTGAACCTGGAGGCCTCTCTTGCTGCCGGGGGAGCCCCCACGCTGTGTGCGGTGACGCCCGCCTTGAAACGGGCCCTGCGCGCGGCCCCCGAGGCATGCCTGGCGCCTCTCTGCGAGTGTGTGCTGCGACAGCTCTTGCTCGCCATGGACCGTGGAGCACTGATGGCGGCTTTGCGCCCGAAAGGGCGGGGGAAAGAGAAGGGCGAGGGGGCCAGTTTGGTGGGAGGAGGGGCAGGCATTGTGGTGCTCCTGCCGGGCGGGGCCGACGCTTCCTCCTCCCCTCCCTTGTCTCCGGCACGGACGGAGGAGCGAGTGGGCGAAGCGGAGGCCCTGGAGCGCCCCAACCTGTGTCTGGCTGTGTGGCTGACAGGCCTCCTCCTTGCGCGGGGGTCCGATCCGCCGGATTTCCTGGTGGATCGGCTCGCGGCAGCGTGGGCACTCGCCCTCCGGAGCCCCTCCGTGCACCTAAAGGCCATGGCCGCCACCGTCCTCGCTGCCATGCTCCAAGAGCTGGTGACGGCGGTGGACCAGGGGCGGGGACGCGACGCCTCCACACCGGCCCCCGCCCGGCTGGACGGGGCGAGGCAGAAGCTGGCAAGCGTGCTACGCCACGTGGAAGACGTCGTCCGGGTGCGCAGCATGGCCTTACAGTGCCTGTGGAGGGAGCGGGCCTCCCAGCCCATCTCCTCGCGCTACACCCAGGCGGTGTTGGAGCTGTGGGCGAGCGTGGCCTCTGCCTGTGAGCGGGCCGGGGTGGAGTGGGCCGGTCCTAGGTCCTGCTCCTCCCCGGCGGCCGATCCCTCCTTGCCTTTGGAGCCCCCCCCCTCGCCGCCGGAAGAGGGAGCGGAAGGCCCCCACCCACGGTGCCGGGAGTGGGAGGAAGGGATAGTCGCGAGCGACCAGGGCTGGGAGGTATTGACGGGACGCGTCACCCAGGTCCGCTCCGGCTGGTCGCGGCCCCGCCGGTTCTCCCTGCTGAGAGAGGGGGGCTTGGACGGGGGGGAAGGGCCTCCCTGCCTGCTCCCGGGGAGGAAGGTGATCCGGGGCCCGGACTGGCCGGGAGGGGGGCAAGGGGCGAGGACGTCAGATACGTCTGGTGAAGCGGGGGCGGAGGAGCGGATGAGGAGGGGAAAGGGCCGGGAAGAAGAAGAAGAAGAAGAAGAAGAAGAAGAAGAAGAAGAGGAGGAGGAGGAGGAAGAGCGCATGAATGAGGATATGGAAGAGGAAGAGGAAGAAGAGGAAGAGGAAGACGAGGAGGAGGAGCAAGAAGAAGAGGAAGACGAGGAGGAGGAGGAGGAGGAGGAAAACACTGAGGAAGATGGGAATGGAAGGGAGAAGGTCCGAGCAGGCGGGGACGTGGACCAAGACCACAGGCAAGGCGCGAGTGCAGGGAGCGAGGCCGAGAAGGAAACGTTGGCGGCGCCCGCCTCGAAGCCCGAGCCCCCGATACTGGGCGTCGTGGAGGAAATATTGGCCTGGAATGGGGAGGGAGGCCTGGCGCGGCGGGTCCGATGGGCCAACGGGGAGACAGGGGTCTACCGGTGGGGCGCGAACGGCGCCTTCGACCTGACGCACGTGGAGGTGGCTCGGGACGGAAAGACGATTCTGCGGCGGTACCCTCATCCGAGCACTGCCGAGGCCGTCGCGGTCCGTCACGGTTTTGGGGAGGGGGGGACTTCGGCCTCATCTTGTGGATCCGCCCGGCTGCGGGGGGAAGCAAGAGCCCCAGGGCGCCGCGTCGCTTTCAAGGCATTTGCGAGTGGCCCGATCAGGGAGCCATGACCGCAGTTACGGGCACCAAGGGCCCGAATGGCTCCCTCACCTTCACGGAGGACCGCTTGCTCGCGGGCTCCGACCTGGTCTGGACCCGTCGCTTTGGCTCCCCGGCCTGGCGCCCGGGCCTGACCTACCGGCTGCGGCTGCTCCCTTCCACGGAGACGGGGGAGGAGAAGGAGCTGTGGAAAGGCCAGTGCGAGTTTGAGAGCACGGTCAAGCTGGGGGGGGACCGGGTGGCCGTGCGGGAAGAGGTGCATCTCCAGGCCCGGGACTTGTTCGTGCTGGACAAAGATGCCAAGGCCGGGGGCATTTCTGTCTCGGAGGACGGCCTCTCTGCCTCATGCTCCTCCAGTGAGAGCAAGGCCTTGGTCTACGGCTCCCTGGGCTTCGCCCGCGGCGTCCACTATTGGGAGGTCAAGGTGGAGCAGGAGGAGATCGGGTCTATCTTCCTGGGCGTGGCGGAGAAGCCGGACATGATGGCTCCCGGAGCGGCGGCGGCCTTGCGGGGGGCCATGCACCGTTGGCACGGCTACGGGTTCATCAATTATCGGGCGAGTTTTGCGTGGAACCCGGCGGAGGGCGGAGGGATCGGGATTGGCGGGGGGGCGCTGGGAGGCCTGGGGTCGGCATTGGCGGCGGTGAGTCCGGAGCGACCGTACGGGGAGAACTTCCAGGCGGGAGACATGGTGGGGATTAAACTGGACATGGACCGGGGCGTCCTGTCCTTCTTCTTGGACGGGATGAAGTACGGCGAGCACATCCTGGCCGACCTGGGGGTGGCGCACGAGAATTTGTTGGGCTCGCGCCCGCGCGTGCGGCCTCGGGTCCTCTACCCCGTGATCGGATTCAGGAAAAAAGGGGACCGTGTGACGCTGACGAACCGGTGGCTGAGCACGCCGGGGCTGCACCCCCGGGTCGTCTTGGAGGACGTGCAGGCCGTGACCACGCTGCTGCACGCGTGGGAGATGAACCACCGGCAGCAAGGGCCGACGAAGGTGCTCGCCCCCGCCCAAGAGACCCGCCCCGAGGCCATGACGCTTCCTGACCATATCCCTGACTGGGCCTACCGGGAGGCCTGGTGCGATTGGCGTCGATGGCGGCTCGGTCGCTGGCGCCGGATTTTGACCCGCGCGCAGTCCCCGGCCTGGGTGGACGTGGACACCTCCATAGACGCCTGCGTACGGGCGAGTTTGCTCCTGGGCATCCCACAGCCCCTCCTGGCCGGCGACCGCGTCCGAATGTTGCGCCGGTGCGGAAAGATCCTGGAGCAGCCCGAGACCCGGCTGGTGCTTGGGGCCTATCGAGGCTTGCTATGGTACCGGGCCCTGGACGCACCTCGGGAGGGAAGCGTCGGCGGGGGCGGGGAAGGAGGGGGGGCCATGGCTGCCTGGTCGTGGCAGCCTTGCGACGTGGACGGGCTGGAGCTCTTCTCGCGCGCTTGGAAGGGGCCACTGGCAAGTCTGGCGGCGTCGGCGGGAGGAGGGGAGGCGATGACGCCCTCGCCCCTTCCTCTCCTCCCCTCTTTGCCGTACTTGCCCATGTTCGAGGGCGGGAAGGTCCAGGTCGTCTTCGATCAGGCGGTGGTGCGGGAGGGGCTCGAAATCGACGCGAGCGAGAAGCTTGGGGAGGTGGAGCAGGAGACTGTGCTGGACGCGCTCGAGCGCCGCGTCAACAGCTCCAACATTGCACGCTTCCGCATCGACTTCCATGGCCTGGAGGGCTGGATCTCCGAGAAGATTCGAGGGGAGCGGGAGGATTTGATTGTGCGGCGCGTGCCGGATACATCGCAGGGCGAAGGGAGGGCGGAGGGAGGGGCAGAGGGGGGGGGATTGGAGGCTCAGCTGCAGGCGGCAGTGCGGGATTGGAAGCGGAAAGTGACGGGGATGGTGGGGCAATCACAAGCGTCAAGCACTGATGAGGATCCTATGGAGACCGAGACGCAGACCCTCCCCTCCGTCGGTGCCTCCTTACCGCCCCCTTCTCTGGCCGTGCCCGACCCGGAAATGGTCTGGTGCAGCGAGGACGTGGACGAGAGGTCAGAGGGGGAGGGCGCGGGGGAGGGTGCGGACCCGACGGGCGCCTTCCCGGGGTACTGGCGCTCGGCCCGATTCATGCGGGGGGGCGAGGAAGGTAGGGAGGGAGGGAAGGAGGGAGAGGTGTGCCCCCCCGTGCCTTGGACGCTGGACGCGGACGAGCAGCTCACGCAGCTCTTGAACGAAGCAGCCACGGCACAGGGCGAGACACTGCCCTTGAACATGAGCTACGCCGCGCTCGCGTCCTTACTCCTGCAGGCGCACCGGGAGGAGCAGCGAGGCGCACGGGAGGACGGAGGAGGCATCTTCCGTCTCGCCCATGGCCGGGGGCCACTCAGTGACAAGCCTGCCTTGCGCGGGCTTTCCCCCCACAGGCTCCTGGCTCGCGCCTCCCTCCTTCGCGTCCTCAATCAGCGCCTCTCTCGCGCCCTGCCCTTCCTGTCCCTCGCCCTCCCAGAACAAGGGTGGGAAAGGGAGCAGGCGGGCGCGTCGGAGCCCATGGTGGTGGAGACGACCTACCCCCTCGGCTCGACGGGGCCCCGGGGAGGAGGGCCGCAGGGGCTGGAGCGTGCCCAAGGGCCGGGGGTCTGGCAGCCTGCCTGCACGGCCCGGCGGCTTCGGGCCTTGCGGAAGTTGGTGCTGACGTCCACCAAGCGGACCCACTGGGAGACGATGCTGCAGGCCACCACCACGCCCACG